TGTTGGGGTTCCCTGCCCTCCCCTCAGGTCTGTGGGGAAGGGAGGAGTGGGCTGTCTGTGTTCTGAGGTTCTCTTCTCAGGTCCCCCAGATGGTGGTGGGGAAGGTATTAGCTCTCCCTGGGGTCTCTTCTCCTTGCAGGTCTCCAAGGCTGAGGAACTAGTTTGGGGTGGGGGGAGGTGAGGGCAGGCTCCCTAGTGTTCCTGCTCCCTTCAGGTCTTGGGAGGCAGATGTGGGGCCTCTTCAGTGTCCCTCCTCCCCTTAAGCCCTCAGAGGAAGGGGATCTGCCTCCTGCTCCTCCTTATTTCCACTCACCTAGGTCCAGTCAGCATGGCGGACGAGGAGATTGCTGCTCTTGTGGTGGACAACGGCTCTGGCATGTGCAAGGCAGGCTTTGCAGGGGACGATGCACCCCGTGCTGTGTTTCCCTCCATTGTGGGGCGCCCTCGGCACCAGGGTGTGATGGTGGGCATGGGGCAGAAGGACAGTTACGTGGGGGATGAGGCCCAGAGCAAGAGGGGTATCCTCACCCTCAAGTACCCCATTGAGCATGGTATTGTCACCAACTGGGATGACATGGAGAAGATCTGGCACCACACCTTCTACAATGAGCTGCGTGTTGCCCCGGAGGAGCACCCTGTCCTGCTCACTGAAGCACCTCTTAACCCCAAGGCCAACCGGGAGAAGATGACCCAGATCATGTTTGAAACCTTCAACACCCCAGCTATGTACGTGGCCATCCAAGCTGTGCTGTCCCTTTATGCCTCTGGCCGCACCACTGGCATTGTCATGGACTCTGGGGATGGTGTCACCCACACTGTGCCCATCTACGAAGGCTATGCCCTGCCCCATGCTATCCTGCGTCTAGACTTGGCTGGTCGTGACCTGACCGACTACCTCATGAAGATCCTGACAGAGCGGGGTTACAGCTTCACCACCACAGCTGAGAGGGAGATTGTGCGGGACATCAAGGAGAAGCTATGCTATGTTGCCCTGGACTTTGAGCAGGAGATGGCCACAGCAGCCTCATCCTCTTCCCTGGAGAAAAGCTATGAGCTGCCTGATGGGCAGGTGATTACAATTGGCAATGAGCGATTCCGGTGCCCTGAGGCTATTTTCCAGCCCTCGTTCCTGGGCATGGAGTCCTGTGGCATCCATGAGACCACCTTCAACTCCATCATGAAGTGTGACGTGGACATCCGAAAGGACCTGTATGCCAACACAGTGTTGTCTGGGGGTACCACCATGTACCCTGGCATTGCTGACAGGATGCAGAAGGAAATCACGGCCCTGGCACCCAGTACCATGAAGATCAAGATTATTGCCCCACCAGAGCGGAAATACTCTGTCTGGATTGGCGGCTCCATTCTGGCGTCTCTCTCCACCTTCCAGCAGATGTGGATCAGCAAGCAAGAATACGATGAGTCCGGTCCTTCTATTGTCCATCGCAAGTGCTTCTAAAGGGACTGCTGGCAGTCACTGGTGGCCTTTGAGGGCCTCGCTTGCTAGTATGTGTGTCAGGGCAAATGTGGGAGTAGTTGTTGCAAACTTGTCCTTGGGGAGCTCTTCCTTCATGTTGGACCAGTATTGTTTCACTGTTACTTATCTTATGTTTTTAATTAACTTGCTAAGGTACTGTGTAGTAACATACCATGTGTATCTTAATGGCCCTACTACAATTTGACCAGTTTGTGACTAGAGTTTACTAGTACTAGTGGAAAGAAAAATAGCAACCTTTTAGGCTGTAGTTCTCCTGTGGCTGACTAGTTCATCCTCCTCATCGCTATATGCCTTCTGGGGCTTGAAACTAGACAAAGGGTGGTTCACTTATCACATGTAACACTGATAAATGATACTAAAGTAGACTTGTCACCTTTAGGCTTGTCACAACTGACTTCTTTGTAGGAAAACTAATAAACTTCTGAGTCTTAAAGCTATAAAAGCTTGTTTTACTTCCTTTCAGGATGAGCTCTTGATCTCCCTGCTACTGAGTACTGCGTAATGTGAGTTTTTGTGTAATGTGAGTTTTGGACTCAAACCTGGATTGTTGCTGTCTGCAACAATGTAAAGTCTAAACAAGTCTAAAATTTAGAAAACTAAATTTAGGGAAACACTAGATAGTGTTGTGGTACCTTTTAAAGCCAGCTGTGCTTGCCTTGTGCTGTGCAGACCATTTTAAGAACTGTTAAGTAGGAAAACTTGACTGGTATGTGGCTTGTGCAGCCTTTCTGTACTTTCATGGTAACTTGGTTTTTTTTAGAACATAAACAGCTCTTCTCGTCAGAAAAGCTGGTACATTGGCACAGGTTTTAGGGATCAGAGGAATAGCTTGCCCTTTTTTGGGAGAAGGCAACAAGATGAAGAAGCAAACATTAGTGAAGCTTTCTCAGGCGCATGCAGCTCTGGGAAGCTGGTCATTCTGCTCTAGGAGGTTGTCCAAGGTGCCTAGAGAAACTTACTTCTGAAGAAAAG